GATAATATCAGTTAGGTGTTAAATCTAGCTCCTGAAATCATAAGAATTCCATTACTGAGACTGTCACTACTTATGAGTTACAGTGTTTTGAACAAGTCTTTTAATATTCTTAGTTTCAGTTTCTCCTTTGGGGAGAGAGGGAGAGAGAGAGAGAGAGAGAAAGAGAGAGAGATTGAGAGCTGGCTTAGATTCCCATCCCAAACGAGGAATTACAATCTCTCCTGCATCCATATCAACTCACCTTTTAAATTTAGTTTTTAAATTTGGTTCTTACACGGAGAAGATGAACTTTCCTGCTAGCTTCAATTCTCTTTTCTACTCTACTTTTTTTTTATTGTCTCCCTGCTTCCCTGCCATCTCTATCCTCTTTCATTTTTATAGTTTCTTGTTCTCTCTACACAGAAATAATTTCTCCCCTGGGAAAACAAAAAAAATGCCCGCCTTTACCTATTAGAAACGAAAACTGCCGCAGTTACGTGGTGTAGACTATTTAGTCAGGATCACATGATATTATCAATATATGATATATTCATCTATGTGATGGGGAAAAAAAAGTAGTCTCCATAAGCAGTCTTGGGGAAAAGGACATTAGAACCCATATACTAGCTTTCTCTGGCCATTTCAAACCCTGTATGAGCTGAACTAGGCTTAAGGTAGACCCTGAAGCTCATCTGGGTCAGAAAACTCTGAGAGGTGAACTTCTTTGGTGAGTAGAGTATAAAGGTCCTTCCCTCCCCACCATGTATGTGTAAAGCACATGCCCTTAGGAGATCTTGGCTGTCTTCTCTTTTCCCAAAACCTCTCACATACTTTTAATAAATATGTATGTCAGAAGAATTTCCATTACTACACCTCTGCCTCCCTTCTGGAGTCTTCTCTTCTGAAGGCCACCACCTGGCTGTGAATCTGCTATGAGGTCATGGTCTGTCGCTTGCTTCAGCTTCTTGCTCTTTGCTGTTTCCTGTGGAAGCACCTTTTTGAGCTGGACAGATTCCCTGGGCTCCTCTGACATGCCCCTACTTGGTTTTGTCACTGTGTTTTTTTCTGTGCAGTTCTCTGGGCTCATCCCTCCTCTGCGTAGCCTTTTTGAAAGTGTTGGCAGCGATGTCCCTGGGCTTTGATCTCTGGAGTCTCAACTTTCTGTCAAGCAGCTTCTTCCTTCCTTCCTGTAGTCCCCATGGGGTAGGGGTTGGGCTGACATCACTTCTGCTTCATCCTTCAGGGGCAATTAACTTGCATGAAAACAAGTTGCAGTGGGCTTTGTTAACAGCAAAATGTTTGCTAAGTCTATTCCAGGAAGTTGACCTAGTTGCTAGTAGTGTCTCTGTAGCTTGGGATTCTGCTACGAGCACACTTGATTAGGAGTCAGGAAGGATCACTCCTTCTATTTCTCACCTCTAAATTGGAGATAATGTTGTCTTATCTGTTTATCCCATAAAGATGTGGGGATGGAATCTGAAAGAACTTTAAAGCCAAAGATGCTACATGAATGCCATATGTTAATTACTTACAAGTGCCCTTTGAATTTCACTCAGATTGAAAAAGTACATCTCTAGGAGAGGCAACACTGTTTCAGGCAGAAATGTCTTGATCACCCAATATGCAAATAAGCTAGATGGAGTATAAAATTTTGGCAGTCCCTTAAAAGTCAAACACACTTAGATTAGACCAGGAAGGACTTTTAGAGAAATGATCTAGAACACACCCCCGTATACACTTAAAAAAAACTGAATTCTAAAGAGAATAAGGACTCTTTCCAAGGTGAGATTGTACTGTGTAGGTAGTAGATAAAAATCCCCTACAAGTCTAGGTAGATCTATGATAAAGAATCCCCCATGTGTGAGAATAGAGGAGCTTTAGTTCTGGAATAGTGCTGGGCAAACTATAGATCAATAAATATCTGTTGTAAAAGTTTTTGTTTTTTTAGTATGTTTTAATTATTTACTTTGAACCACTGTTGGTGTGCAAATTTTAAGTAATGTGTTGTGAGACACCACTTTGCACTTGGTCTATTTTTTGCACGAGCCATTCTCCATTTTAAAAATTACATAAACTCAAGGGCGCCTGGGTGGCTCAGTCGGTTGGGCGTCTGACTTCAGCTCAGGTCATGATCTCACGGTTCATGGGTTCGAGACCCGCCTTGGGCTCTGTGCTGACAGCTCAGAGCCTGAAGCCTGCTTCGGATTCTGTGTCTCCCTCTCTCTCTGTTCCTCCCCCACTCATGCTCTGTCTCTCTCTTAAAAAATAAAT